AATTAGAAAAAGGTAGGTAAAACCAGCAACGGAATGTGTACTGCTTTCGCTGAATGAAAACATTTACATCTTCGTCGATTCACTGATTTGAAGTAAAGCTTTATGTTACGTTTCCTTTCAGAATTGGTATGGAAATGATATCAAGATGAGATTTTTGAAAAACTGCAGGAATATACTTGCTGAAAGACTTTGTTTTGACACTTTAAATGATGTTTGATTAGCCGCTTCGACGTGCCGGCACTTCAGCATCACCGACGAAAAAATTCACAAAGCCACAAATAACACATGAAAGTATTGGTCGTATGAACTCCGTTTCATGGATAAGAAGGTGGAATTCATGTTCATAGAGATTTTTTATTGAACTGGTATCTGGTAACAATATCAAACTGAAGATAATTTTATGCGAGCGATGCAAGAACTGCAATGACAACAAACCGTACGAAAATATTCCCAAAGCTACAAATAAAGACCTTGGTCGGATAAATTACGTTTAATAAATAAGCTGGTATTCATAATTTTAGGTTAAACTAGTAGCTTGTTTATCGTGTACTTTTATGTAACGAATTTATAAAGAGACTCATTATGAACAATCGTTSAAMTGAAAGAAATCTCGATTCTCAAGCGCAAATCGACATATTCTTGTAGTACTTTTCTTAAGTAGTATCTCAATAAAWTGCAAAATACTCACTAAATTCCTCTATTTTCAGCTTCATAGAAAAATGTAACTTGCTTTTCACACGTTATTTACAATAATAAAGATGCAGTTAAGCTTATTACGTTTTTGATTTTTCACTTCCAGTTTCAAGTTGCTTTGTTTATCTATAGTTTATGCCGAAGATCCTATGCACTCAAAAACTACAAGAAATAGTAAAACTTCATGCAGAATACTCATAACTAGTTGTTGCCAAGTTTTCGGATACATTTTTGTATAAATAGCTGATTTTTTTCCTATTCTACTTCTAGTTTTGAATCGCACTTGACAAAAAATGGTGACGTCAAAACCATGTTTACATACTCTGATACAAACACGGCAGTCGGCCAATCAGAACGCGCGTAGTATCCAAGTTATTTTATAAAGCTTTTTATTATATATATAACGAGACTTTCACAGAGTAAATGGGATAAATAAAAATCTGTATGCCATATTGTCACATGTGAAAAATAGCGATACGTCCAATCAGAAGCGCGTATAGCATTTCTCATCCACACTGTCAAAATATAGCCAATTATGACACAGAAAAACCGTAATCAGCCAATCAGAAAGGTTCACAAAACTGAAATGGCTTCTCTCTCGTTAAAGGGACACTGTCAATGGATGACATGCGCAGTAACAGTCTCACCTCTAACGGACTTTGAAAGTATATATATTAATAATGTATCTAGCATCCATAGGTAGAGAGTTCCATATATAAAAGTGCCGTGGTAGTTGCGGTAATAGTTTTAGTTTAAACTAAAAATATGAATAACATTTTCAGAACTTTTATTACAAGAGAGATCCACCAACCAAAATTAATCTAAAGTTCAAGAAATATGTCAGCACATCAAATGATCCATCGCTGTTTTCAAGAATTCTTCGAGTGCATATCAATAAGTAAGATATCATGATCGCTTATGATTAACTATCAGGTCTCTTTCCCGTGTCGCTCCGCCCCAATCCCATTCGAGAGAGCCTGATACTTAGGCAACAAAATAACTATTTACAGACACATTTTGATTATAATTTGTGCTTTACACCCCGACAGGGAAGGATTCGTTTCTGCGCAGTATCTACCATTGGAAATCGGATTCGACTCGCCAAAATCTAAATGCTTGCAACCCAGACGGCTGAAGAATAGTCATTGGATTGATGTGTGCAGCCAAGAAGATAAAAACTGTTTCAAACTTCATGAAAGCTGAGAATGGCTTAAAGTGGCTTTCTATAACCGTTGGACCTCCAATAACTTACATCAATAGTATATTCTAGTCTTTAATAATCAGTTGATGAAAATTACTCAAAACTGATTAGTCGATGAACAGTGCATTTTACCGGTTCAAAAATGAGGTATTCCGTAACGTTTGTTATCTTCGAGTGTTGAAAAGGCCTCTCGGGTGAAAATGACTACTTTCTGTGTAATAGAGAAATTGGTATATGAATTACCATAGAATTACAGCAATATGCAGAAATTCTGACCACTTTGATTCATATTCCAACTATATATAAAATATATCAGAAATTATGGGATATCATCGCTGATATTTTTTTCRRATACTACTGATCCTAGGCAACTTCAAAAARATAYCAGTGACCATATCCCATAATTTCTGATATATTTTATATAAAGTTGAAATATGAGTCAGAGTAGTCAGAATTTCTGCATATTGCTGTATAATATTAGTATTATAGAATGATCATAACCATAGTAATTGTTTGGATGAGAGTTGTGAGAATTATTTTGTTTTCTATTGTGTATTCGAACTAACAACTGCTTTATTCACAAATAGTTTCACAATTAATAATAATTATATAAAAATTCTAAAAATTACAATATAGAAAAAAGTTAAAAAAAAAATTACTAAAATATTAAATTTTACAATAATAATGATAACGATTAAAATTTATAAATATAACTATGCATTAATTAATTTGTAAAAAAGAATGAAACTTACATTAAATAATTTACTAAAGAAACATCCTATTATTTAAAAAAAGACTAATTCAAATATCTGCAGAGTTTACATTTAATTTAAAATCGAATAAAAAGTCATTGTTCTTGTAAAAGGGGACTCGTGAACCACGTATACACAAATTAATAGATTTGATGATCTCAAAGGATAACTTTGTTCTTATATAAGTTATTGTTTCTGCATACGTGTTATTAGTTTTCTTAGCGAGTTTTTCTGCTAGTGCCTTTAAGAACATATTGCATTCTAATCCCGTTCCACCGTTGGTTCCAAAGATGAGGGGTGTGAAAGTTCCCATATCGACATCTTGGATTCTCTCTGCATATTTTCGTTTCTTTTCTTGCTCTTGCTCTTGAAAGATCGTATTGGTGGTCTYGTTCTGGTTGGTTTTGGAGTTGACATGCGTTACACGTACGTCGAAAAATGCTGTACACTCTATTCAGCATTATTTAGTTAGTACTTTGTTCTCACTCAGTTTAGAGTGGATTGTCAAAGTGTAATAAGATCTGATGAATCGAAAAGACATAGAGMAATGTGCATTATAGATATTAGTCACGAAGTTAGACTCTTTTCCACTGAATATTTTGATATTATTTATGGTTGAAGTACGTTTGCTTTATATAACTTTCTGCGCTGGGTCCACAACGATTGTTTCATATAAATCAMTTTGGAAATACAAACCAGAGAAGAGGATCGAAGTAATCATGACTGAATGGTCACTTGCATTTACTCATTTCCATCCTTAATAAGGTTTGTAGCGTCAGTGAAATTACTTACAGGCATCTTTATGCATCAGCATTATCAATTGCATTTCAATTTCACTTGATTCGACTGACATATCTCATTGACGTCATCAGAACGAATGCAAATTAAGGTAACTACACTTCATCTCACACTTGTGCCAGAAAAACAACCAAGTCAACCAAAGCAAGCAAAACTATAAGTATAAACACTGGTGTTCTGAGTAAATCCAGGTAAGACCATAACATGGAGTAATATAGAGTAGTCATATAGCTCTAAGATATGGCTGAATACTGTCAGAGTTCACGAGTTTAAGAGACCACTTATAAGATATAGCTTGTTATCTCAGTGATGTGTACTTGAAATAAAACACACAGTAATGAACATGAGTTAACGTATAAAATAGCCTTACTCTCTTTAACCCAACCTGCAGAATGAACTGCAGTCAACATGACGTGACAGATTTTTATCGATAGACGGATCGAAATTCGTGAGTCATTTCAAGAATAAAGTTTATTTACGCTTGGACAGCAATGATAATTCAAATTTCAGATTTATTCAAATTAGTTTATGGTGCCTTTTCTTTCACACAATCCCAAGAGGCTTGTTTTTTATAGCATGCCATTTAATATGTTGAGTTACTTCAGCATACGAAATATCAAAACTAAAACTAACTATATGTATTTCTTTCAAACAAAATCATGGGCATTCGCACAAAGTGCTAACCGTTCTCGGAACAACAACATCACAAAAACAAAAATGTCACAGAGCAGACAGTGAACATCTATACAGTTACCTATAGCGACCACTATTTTGCCTGCATATTATGCTTTGGTGCCAGTCATTAAACCCGTGAAACAAAATTAAATTATTAAAGTGTCAAATAGACACAAAAGGTCTTTCTCCCGGAATTGCCTCCTTCTAAGCACTATAACTTTCTTTCTATAACTTCGCATCCGTTTTCGTGTCGGGCTTCCTGTCCCTCCCCTAAAGAGGAGAGGGACATGAAGCCCGATACGAAAACGGATGCGAAGGAGACTAAGCGTATTAAGGTGTATCATGATTCACAAAAACATTTTCCTCCTCTCATTGGTCAATGCACTTGTACCGTGAAATACAATCAAAATATAAGAGTACAAATAATGTACCTGTGAAATAGATAGTGACAAATAGGGAATAGACAAGACATAGGAATTCAGTGGGGTATAACATCTACTCGTGCTTTTCTCAAGCCAGTTTATTTTTGCGTTGCTACAAAACCAGGACACTGCTCAAGCTAAAATAACAGAGTCTTTCGACAGAGTCTTTTTTCCTTAGTGTGCAGTAGACGGGTAGGTTATGATCACGGTTCGCATTCGTTTATTCGAGTTTAAATCCTCAACTTGTTCATAACGATTCGCTAAGAAATGATAAGCAATATATCATTACAATAATAAGCAAAAAAYTAAAGTTATACCTATGGAAATTACAAAACAAATAAGACTTACAAACTTTTCACTCTCTCCGTCCTTGCTGCATGTCGTTGTGTGTACGTAATCAATTTGTACAGCGGTATTTCTACGAGTCTACTATGCATGCACGAGGCTTACACTTAGTGCTACTGATACAAAAACGACAAAAGACAAATATCGACATAAAATAACTACAATACTTGAGAAACATTAGAAAAGATTTGAAAATCAAATAGAACTATCCACATGGGTCTAATAACCATGGAGCAACAGATTTTAAGAAGATATTGATAATAATATTAATAATTTGGGCAAAAAATGTTGGAGTAGATGACGTAATTTACTCCATTCTTTTGTTCTTCCATCTTTTGAATCAAAATTTCTCTAATGTGGGACAATTCCAAAACAAATATTTTCCGGCAATTGTTTTTAATTCTTCGTTTTCAAGTTACGTCACAGCGACCATCTTGGAGGAACTTGTATTGAGGAATTTGTATTGCTTGAAGTTTTGAAATAAGGCCAATTTCATGCAAGTAGCACTTTAAGAACCTTTATTTCTCGGCCGCCCGTGACTATTTGTGTCTTTCGGAACATTCAGTTTCCGCGGGCAACTATCAAAGCATATGCATATTTTTTAATGAGTGTGGTATCTATTTCACGTTTTTTTTTTTTACTTCATTGCGCTTCAGTTACGCGAACAGAAATATAAACAATTAAAAAGACAAGGAACGATCCTTTTTAGTATAATTTCATAAGTGAATATCATAATTCTAGCGCGCTGATTGGTCGAATCAATTGGATTAAACCTCGGGCTCAGTGATTATCAATGAATATTTACCTCGTGGCTCGAGGAATCGCCGCTCGGTAAATATTCATTGATAATCACTTCGCCTTCGGCGAATAATTGTTAAATATTACAGTTAGTCAAATGGTTCAGATTTATTATTATTATTTTTTTCTTCTATAGATTTCTTTTACTTCTGCATTCTTCTCCCTCCTAGTGTTTGAAATATTAATAAATTATTATTACTTTCAGCGATGAAGGCTATAATTTTTGGGCTTCTGCTTGGTGTGTTACAAACTGCATCTTCCAGCAGATCTTTCCATGATGATGTTTTTAAAGAATGCTTTAGAAAGTACACTATTAGCTTTTCATTACCACCAACACTGAAAAACCACTGTTCTACCATTAAGGTAATTAAAACGTCAATGATAACAACTAACAAGAATGCAAGATTATTGTAAGTAAATTCACTACACTATTTACCAGATAGTTTGACAGCTGCGTGGGATTCTTTATTGTGTTCTTGACTAGTAAAGCACGTTACAGAGCAACTGACTAGCAAGCAAATGATAACCAAATGTGTCTCTTTGGTGGGAAAGGGGCGTCAGCCGGAGACGATCAACCAATCCTGAGACTAATGGCTATAAAGTCTGAAAAAGTTTTTATTACTATCAATGCTGATGTGTTTTATGATATTCTTTCCTGTCGTTTACTGCTTCATATAACAGGACAACATGGATATCCACAATCGAAAAAAAAGCAAGAAAAAATTAAGTTTAAAATCGAGGCATGTCACATCTTCGAACTAATCAAAGCGAATAAAAACCGCTGTTTATTTGACTGCAGATTCTCTTACACAATGACCTAACCAAACACAAAAGAAAGCATAAGAAAATGTTGTATGTAATTTAGCGAAAAAACAACAACACATTTTCCCRAAATTGAGGCTAACCCTGTATTCCCTGAAGGTTTTTAAACCGTAAGTCTCATGGGAATTCAGGGTTAACTTAGTTTTCAAGGATACTGTAATAACGACATTTTCTCGTGCACTCTTTTGAGTTTGGTAAGGTCTTATTGGAGTATACGTAGTTTATTAGTAGGCAAATARGTATATTGACTGATGTAATTCAAGTTGTAATTTGTGTTACTTTTGTTAGCTTTATGGTTTATTGTAGACTGCATGCACTTCTCWTTGAGCCAATAAAACCATAGATTTAGCTTAATATATTTATGATTGAACAAATGCCATCCCATTTTTTTCTTGAATTGACAGAATACCAGTGATTGCTTAGGCTATTATGCAACAGTCGATGGACCACTTCTTGACCTTATGAGATTCTACATTCTCGAGCATGCTTTTTTTGACATTCGCACTCACCTTTGTCAACCATACGACCTCAGTAACATCCAAATGGTGCTCGATGGCTCAGGTAAATCAATATATTGATTGTCACAAAATGTCAAATGTATATCTATAAATTCATAAAGGTGTTTCGATCGTAATAAATAGCGCTTCGCGCTTATTTTTAAACTCCAACTACGTCGCAAATTTTGATTACATTGCACTCAAATTTTCACAGAAGTAACAGTGATTATCGATAATTCTTGTTGATAAATTAATTTGCCAAAAAAAGAAGCCATTTGGATAAACGATGCAAAATAAAAACACCTTCATTTTTCTTCAAAGTTAATTTTCTCGAAACTCATCGCAGAGATTGTAATAGAATTTTCAGAATCATTTTTTTAATAACATAATTGATATACTGACGAAGTTTCAATAAACTCTTAACCTCAAATTTCGAGTTGTTTGAGCAAAATGATGTACATTCGAACAAATCGAAATTTTAGGTTAAGATTTTATTGAAACTTCGTCAGTATATCAATTATGTTATTATGAAATGATTCTGAAAATGTAAAAATTTATGTAAAATTTATGACCACAACTGAAACCAATTCACGCGATATGAACTGGTATGAATGGCTTGCATTATGAATTCATGACCACAATAATTAGATTTCACTCTTGATGTGTTTTTTTTTCCAGACGTTTTTAAAAAGTATGGAAAATATTCTATTGGTAAGCTAATCATATATGYATATATAWGTATAGAGTACAAGTAACATTRCTCKCTTTGCTCCAGCATGATGTCATACACCAAACAGGGAACATAAATTGGAAATAAAGTGTGCCTGATGACTAGTGTTTTTGGTCAGCTTTTAGTGAAGCATATTCTTTATTATTCCTGCGTTTCTTTTGTTTGATTTTTRTTACAGTAAACACCTGAAAATAAGAACCTTATTTTTTGAAAGTCTGGCAAAAAAGGTTTTTATTTTAAGGGGTAGTTGCTAGTAATTTTGGCAAAGCAGGTTCTGAATTAGGTTCTTAATTTCTAATAGGGAGATGCAGTTGTTATTTTTTTCATATACACCTACTTGCGAAAAATAGGACATTTGTATTTAGTAAAAAGGAATAAATTAAAAAGACAAAAGACGATCACTGAGGCTGAACGCTTTCTTTTGTGTTATTTTAATTTATTCCTAAACGTTTCTGCAAGTAGGTGTATATCATAAGAATAATATATAAGCTTAATATGGGCTAAAATTATATGTAATACTATAATATTATGCATAACTGCAACTTTCAACTACTGTAACTGGTAACAAGTAAATAATGAATTCAACAACTGTAAATAAATTCAGCAATCTATAGCAATCTTGAAATTGAGTAAGTCATGGTTCATTTATCCTGTAATTTAGCTCTAACCCATATTATAAGAACCTGCTTGATAATGTTTGGCTAAATAGGTTCTTATTTAAGGGGTTATTGTAACGTAATACAGTTATTAAAATGGTAAATTTCTGCCAACTTGTTCTTAATCCATAAGGTTCTTATTTTCAGGTGTTTACTGTATTCATTTATAACTATTTATCTCCTTTATTTGATAGTGTCATTGCGACTGACTTTTTCTTTTAAACCAGAATACGTTCCCCAGGAAGGAGCAGCGCTTTTGATGTGTGCAAGACAAGTTCATCTGTCTGCAAAAGATTATTACAAAACCATCGTGACTTTACAACAGCTCCTTTGTGATGATCCAGTTAATCTTGTCAAGTTCTACAAAGCAAAAGCAAGAGAGATCAAGTGCAAATCTAAGGTTTTGGAAGCTTTTATTTCCACAATTAAGCATATTGTTCCAATGCTCAATGATGAAATAAGGAAGAAACTTCACATCTCCTGTCCTTAACTCAAGCAGCAACGAAAAACTTAACTCTTGATAATTCGATTTATTGTTAATTGAATGAAGTCAATTATATGTTAATTCATTATAAATAAAGTTGGATTGTTCTTACCATATGTATTTTGTTCTTTTTTTTTGTTCATTAGAGTGATTTCGCATAAYGCATTTGTATATGATGATGAAACATGCAAATTGTGCAAGAATATACGCTTAAACAATTAACAGAATGTTCTCATTACGTGGGCTTCCTGTGGAAGTCCACGTCTAAAAATGCAACTGGCTTTTGGTGGTGGTGGTGAATATTACGCTTCAAATTGGTAGCACCTGCGTTGCAGATGGTCYGCAGTCTTAGAATGAAAACAAAATGGCGGACAGACGGCGGCAAAAAGKTGTCTCGTTTTAAATGGTTCTAAAATGTAGCTAAAATGCTCTAAAGAGCTGAAAATCTTACAAAATCAACTGATTACCATCCAAACGACATGGAATGAGGTATATAATTCAAGRTTACCGGATGATTCGTGCAGAAATGACTGGACATTTTCTATCGCCGACTCGAATAGCACTACTCGCCACACAACAAGTGTTCGATGTCAACCACAAAATCTTCAAAAATAAGAAATCACRTGGATWTTGAAGGTTCATACTTTGACAGAAGAATAATCATTCGATGGACTAAAAATAATGATGTCATTTTCTAAACGATGTGTTTGAACTCATGCACGTGTGAATTACTAAACTCTGTATACAAAATCTATATTGTGTTTGAAGATTTGTTTTGGTGATTGTTTAACTTGAAAAACATACACAAATCCAAAAATATGAACTGTTTGATACGATACTGACAAAACGGCAAAGACTGTACCGTTTCTATTGTTTATATGAACTTTCAGATATTTTGCATATTTTGAATAATAAAGACGCTCTTAGAGTGTAAAGTCGAGCTAGTTATTTTTGGAAAACTGAGAAAGACATGATATCTAAAGAAGTTACTTGAGTTCAGTTCGGTAAAAAATTATGATGTCATAAATAACTTATATAACTTAATTCTGTCTTGACTTATTACAAACAAAGACTGTATCGTGAAAATGAAATACCAGTTTTCGCAGCTAAAGGAAGCCCACGTAAGCGATCTATGATCGTCTAGTTATCATATAAAAAGCGTTATGTGAAAAGTATTGTTTGTATTTTTGATTTAGTAATGCTAGCCTTAATAACGAACATATACAAATAAAAGCATTTTCAATCACYCTTTTACAATTCATAGAGTAAAAGAGATCTCAGTTTGCTTGTACCGTGTGCTGAGTTAAAAACGCCAGKATTCGATTAACGATATCGAGGTCATAATTGCATACTTACAAACATCAATCTAGACTATTTTGACTTTAACAGCCCGAGCTTTCGCTCTAAGTGGGCATCTTCAAGGCCCGTTTACACTTACGAGTACGAGTCGGACAGCCTTGCCATCGTTACGGCGATGGAAATTCGCCGCGATGTTGTAGCCAATTTTCAACACTGTGAATTGAAGCATGTTCGAAACTGACTCAGGCGATGGTCGCGACGATCACCGCAGAGAATCCCTCTGCAAAAATCGCAAGTGTAAACTGGCCTTCATGGTGACAAAGTTCATGACAAAGAAAAAACAAAGAGAATTAGGAATGGTCCGAGTAGGCAAGCAAACGGCAATGGAATGCAGGAAGGTGCTAATTGTGTATTGTATAATCCATCCATCTCATTGGTTAAAACATTAAAATCTGACATAATTTCAAAATTAATCGCATTTTTTAATATTTTATTTAATATCTGATTCCGACTTCATAAAAGCTTTCCTTAGCTTCAATATTAATAGCAATTCTATGTGGGGAACATAGCAAATTAGAAGCATCTTTTGGTAATTGTTTAGAGTGCTTATGATTGGACAAGATCTTTTAATACAAAAGAAACTTTGTTTCAAAACAGAGTTTATCCACATTTTATTTTAAAAATGTGTTACCCGTAGGTTGATATATAATCAGTGTGAAGACTAAGACATTCGTATGTGGGGAAGTTGAAATTGCCGCAGAACAATAGAAAGTTGCCTGCTTTTTGCGCGCATTGTTACTCCAACCATGTGGTTACTCCAAGACGCGACTGGTATGAAAGATAATTAAAATTGGAATATGCATCTAATAGAGTGATTTCATATAACCCTCTTTTTAGATGCAAACGAGACCCTGATTTCAGGGTTGACTCGTGCCTTGACAATGACTTGGCAAGAGTCTTTGAGTGAATAATTGAACTAGTGATGAACAGCAAAAAAAGTAAATGATGTAGTTGCCATGCAACCAATTTCATCTGTGAAGCTACATACATTTTTAATAAACTTACAACAAGATCAGATGGTTGTAAGACTTGCAATTGATCATGGTTATTTACCAAAACAACACATTCAAGACCTCTCATGGCATTATTGCAGTTAGTTTAGTCATAACTATACCAACATTCTCATTTTATATGCAGCTTGAAATGCTAGATTGCAGCATGGTCCTTTGTGTGACACATAATGAAATTCTTCAAGATGGCCAATATTGATTTCACTAGAAATATCCTCTACACACGTTGGGTCTAATAATAGTGATTGGTGCAAATCCTTCATTTGATTATGTTATATTGAAAGTAACATTCAATGCATCTGCTACTGCATTTAATCAGTGCATCAGCTCATATATCTTGAAGAGACATATTATTCAAATTTTGACCATGAATTTTCAGTGTCACTCTCAATAAACCTCTTTGGATTATGTACAGGGTTTGGCTCAATTTCACCTTAAAGCATTATTAGTTGCCTCGTGGATAAACAATATGTTTGAAAGAAGTAAAAAATCAAAGGCTCGGTCATGCGGCAAGTGAAAGGCATAACGGGATTGTGGTCGACGGGAAGTAGTGGAAAAACGTTTTGCATTTTTCAACTCGTGCGGCCAAAGGCCTGACATGAGTAATGAGTTCTTGTTATATTGTAGTGAGAATAGAGGGTTTATGCTCCATTAGTTGCACCAATAAAATAGTTTACCATCAATTGTGAAAGGTTTCTAAAATTTATAGTTGTTATTGCTTAYCATGTTTGGTGTTATTTTGTTCTGAACCAACAAATACTATAAAGTGAATACTTTTACTTATTTGCACAATGAAAT